AGGCAAACAAATGCAACCAAATAGACATCAATCCAAATATAAAATAAATTTCTATTAAATTCTGAAAACAAATTAAAACCAAATTCAAGGTTTAATTTAAACCAGGGTTGTCATATAGGTACCTTTGAAAAGGTGCCTCAACGGAGCATGGTAGCTTTTGCCTTTGTCTAGTCAACACCTAGGTATAGGCAAGCCTAGCTAAAGGCAAAAAAGTGAGTCTAGTCAAAGGTACTGCCTAGCCACAGGCACTACCTGGAAATAGGTGTGCCTAGCCAAAGGCAAAAAAGTGTGCCTAGTCAAAGGCAATAACTAGCTAAAGGCACTGCCTTTGTAAGATTAAATCTTCTATAGAAATTGCCTTTTACCTTTAGTCTTACTCGTTGAGTTTTTGAACAATAATGCAAAATTTCTTTTGTTTGAACCATTGAAAAACTACAGACCCCCTCCAAATGACTGAAACGCCGAATTTTGATTTATCCAAGGCGACAAAATTTTTGATAACGACAAATTAAATTTTTTAAATTTTTGACGTAGCAAATTATTGGTTTAAAAGAAGATATTATTCACTATTATGCTGAAATAAATTCAAATTAAGGAAAAAAGGTGTTTTAAATTAAAAAAAAAAACTCAATGAGTAAGACTAAAGGTAAAAGGCAATTTCTATAGTAGATTTAATCTTACAAAGGCAGTGCCTTTGGCTAGGTATTGCCTTTGGCTAGGTATTGCCTTTGACTAGGCACACTTTTTTGCCTTTGGCTAGGCACACCTATTTCTAGGTAATGCATTTGGCTAGGTATTGCCTTTGACTAGGCATGTCTAGGCAAAGGCAAAAATTTCTCCCTATACAAAGGTAATGCCTTGGATAGATTTTTGCCTTTGATAGGAATTCGATAGGTGACAACTCTGATTTAAACCATCCAAATTAGATCCCTCAAACTTTTATTAAACTATCATTAACTTTTCATCATCATGTCATTAAATATTCATTAACATCAAAGCAACTCTAACAACATTAAATGATTAACTTAAATATTTATCATTGTCGCTCGTTAAAATGAAAATTTTTTATTTGTGTTTTTCTTTCAACAATTATCGTAAATTTTCCTTTCCTTTATAATCTCTCAATTATAATATCCGAGAGACAATACTTCAAACTCAAACATCCATGACCTATGACAATCATTTCAAAACGTAAAAAAGTCATGTCGACATTTTTATTAAGCTTTTATCAAGAATTTATGTTTTGTTATGCTGAACATTTACATAGAAAATATGAGAAAGGTTTGGAATTAAAAGGTAGAATGAGGTCATGTGTCAATGTGAGTATGTGTCACGTGTTCATTATGTCAATTCGATCAAATTCCTCATCTCGTCACAAATGATTTTTTCTCCTTCAAACTATGCAACAAGCAGTACGAAAAAAAACATTTACATACTCAATAAAACGTTAAAGTTATTCTCACGTGACTGTGTAAAGTTTTCATATTTTCTGTGTGTCACTTTTTTTAGCTATATTTTTGAATTTTAGACTGGATGGTGCTTTATTAGACATTTTGTCACAACTGCAGCTGTGAGTGGACCCCGAAAGGTCTGGTTTACTAGTTTTAAGCTTTTAAGCTTAGGAAAATAATGACGAAATAATTTAAGTTTCTCAAGCTGTACAGAGAGTCGACAGAGAGCAATAGCTGTGCTTTTAGAGCTCCTCCGGTTATTATAATGTTTTTTTCTTATGCACGGCAGAACACTGCTGCATCGGAGCGCCCCAATTACTTAACTTTCTAGCTAGGGTCAAAAAATGCGTCACCAATCTTTATAAAATTAAACTTTTCTCGCAACAAGCTTTCCATTACTTCCCCAATCATTTTATCAACGTGAGTATTAAAGCTTCAACAGGAAAAAACAGAACAAAAACAATACGTTCAGTTGCTGACTCAATACTTTTCCGCTTGATGTTATTTAATACATTTTTTTGTTGTTTCCTTCCCCTTTCAACGCCTACCCACTCGCTTGTCAAATCTGCCATCAGTAATAAAACATTTATTGATCAAAAAAAATCTCATGAATATTTTATCACATGATTTGACTTGCTTCTTTTTTTTGGGATGATAAAAATTGCAAACATTATTTTTGGGGGTGTTTATTTTTGAGGATTTGGTTTATTGTTGAACGACAAGTCTGAGAATGATTTGAAAGATGAATATTTGGTTAAGATTTTATTGTTGAAAATGGGGGAAATAGGGAAGAAGCAGAAACAATAAAATTTTTGGTCGTTTTTTAAACCAAATTTATGAATTTTAATAGATATTAATGGATAATCTTAACTCATTGCAGACTTAAAGGCGCTAAAGTTTAAATGTTTTTTTTTAAATTTAGAGACATTAAGTTGCGATCATGATTCTTGGTTTAAGAACTTCTGGAATCAACCAAGATGTGGGTATTCAACAATTCATTAACTCTTCGGAGTCCTTATAACGAATAGTACAAGACGGTATATCGAATAGAAATTGATGCGAAGCCGTCATGATTCTGGCATGGTGCTGGCTTTGAATTAAATCAAACACCATACAAGAGTAACACTGGCTTAGTGCCTGATTTTTGATCGCTTAAACGACTTGTGAAATTCAGCTTGGCAGTCGATTGTAATGTTTACAAGATCTGGAACAGTTGAAGGGTTTGGAATCATCAAAAATGATAAAAATGTGAATATTCAGTTCCGCACTCCTAAAATTGTTGAAGATTCTCAAAAAAATGTATTAAGTATAGCAAAACCTAGCGTTATTTAGCTAGGGATTAATGGATGCAATGATCAACATCTCATCAAAAAAACATTACATTCAGAACATAAGATTGACAGCAAATATTTATGAACAAACTTTATATCAATTTCAACAAATATTGCCTCTAATAAATCTGTGTAACTTGTCATCACTAGTAATGTTGATTCCTACTAATATCACCTTGTGATTAATTTCCAACTAAAGTCACAATTTACTGTCAATAATAGAATAAATATCAAAATTTTATAAGCAAACACTTGACATATCCAGCGCTATTAAGATGCTAAACAAATCTATGAATTGAATATTTTTTGTGAGAGAACTGAAAGATTGAGCAGGACCATGTGTGTTTTGAGAATTTGAATTTTTTTAAAATGATTTAATGATATTTGAAGAAGAATAGCTTGATCGATATTTTTGAAAATTTTCTGACTTTATTTCTGAAAATTTTGATTTTATTTTGTTTTAAAAGTTTTAAATTGTTTTTATTTTTAAGTTGGAAGGCCCGAAATGTTTTTAATTGTCTATAATTTAGTCAATTCTTGAAATTTTGGAAAACTTTAACGCATGTCAACATGTCCTTGAAGATATTAAATCAAAAAAATCTATTTTTCCAACCCAAAATAAATCCCAAAATAAAAATGTATTTTTTTCGACTTAAAGATCACGTGATACAAACTCATTACAGGTTAAAATCGTGATTTACTTGCCGATATATTTAAAAAAACTCGTGGATATTTCAGAAACTCATTATCTCAACAATTATGAAATTTAAATTTCTTTATTAAAGTTTAAAATACGTGCAACAATTTTTTAAAATTTTCTATTTTTAAAAAGTTCTTGAAAAAGATAAAAACAACGAAATTACATCGGTCGTGTCTATATGGACATATATTTTTGTTGACATGGATTATTAATCGGGAATCCCAATATAAGAGACAAGATTTGAATGTAAAAATTATGCGACAAAAGAAATTATTGAGTTTTTAGTTGAGTTCAGGTTTTATGTGCAGCAGCGGTGAAGCCAGGATCGTGTGAAATTTTTTTATTCAAGAAATTTATATAAAACTTAAGAGAGTGGGGCATTTTGAATAGAGGGAGGGATGGTTTTCCACACAAGTACCCTTCTGGCTATGCCAATAATGCCCAACAATCGACCTGATTAGGGGCCGTTCACTTATTACGTTAAGCAAAAAAACGACTTTTTTCACCCCCCCTCCCCCTTGTTACAATATGTTACAACTCACAACCCCCCCCCCATCCCCCCTGAAAGTTTATAATTTATTTTATAATTAAAAAGGTGGAAAATTTAAAAAAATGTTTTTGGTGTGAATTTGTAAATAAATTTTTTTCGTGAACTTTTTTTAAAAGACAGACGACAGTTAGAACGTTATATACTTCTTGACACCCCCCCCCCCCCCTCTATGCTACGTTTTGTTACAATTTTTCAAACCCCCCTCCCCACTAAAATGCGAACGTAATAAGTGAACGGCCCCTTATTACTCATAGATAAAAAAATTCGTTATAGACTCTAATGTCGATAAAAATCACATGACCTTGGGCACATCCAATCACTAGAACTCTCTCAAATTATTTAACAATTAAGATTAGAGATGTTTACAGAACTTATTCGTGAATCGGAGTCATGGGCAGCACATGGCTCCATGTAGAAGAATTTAGAAGCCTCAGCAACAATCAGTAGTTCAGTGGGATTTCAGAGCATGGCTTCTATTTATAAAAACCTCTAAATCAGCTCTAACACAGTGCGAAAAATGATAAAAATTTATGTCAAACAGATGACGAAAAATTCACTAAATCCACATTTTTTTCATGTTTCTTTCACGTCAAATTATCGTGAGGCACGACTCATGTTAATCACAGCTTGAAAATTAAATTTAAATTTCCTCATAAAACTTTATGATTTTTAAGGCTTGTTAATTAAATTCCAAGACCGATAAAATGTAATTTTTCCACTATCGATGCGGTGTGAAAAATCAGCACTTAAATTTACATAGAAAAAAAATTAATCTTTTAATCTTTTTTTCTCAGCACAACGAATTCCTCACAAAGGTAATTAAAAATTCTTTATTTTAAAATGCAAAACACATTCAGAGAATCTTTAAGTGAGTGAAATTATTAGTTTTATAAATACCAGAGTAATTAGCTCATTCAGAACAACTTAATTCAATTGTTTGATCATCTTGCTGATGATAATATACTAACCAAAAATAAATTCGGCTCTCTTTTCGTCTCAAATTTTTTTTTTTGTCTTCCTTAATTCACTTATTTTCTCTCATCAACTTGCACACTTGCTTGATTTATTTTAGGTTTTGCGAGCTCACAAGATCACTTTTCGTGTAATTGCCGTGAAAATATTCAACAGCAACTCATCCACTTATCATAAAGATCTCAAATCTTATTCTTTATATTTTTATTATATAAATCAGCTAATTTACACAACAAATTAGACAGCCATTGACAAAAAAAAAATATATTTTAGATATATTTAGTAACACCACTTGTTGTTCAACTGATCGCGAGCACTACAAAATACAAACTGATCACTGTTCAGTCACAACATTCTATTTAACATTGAGAAATTTTTTTACTGCTGCTTTTTTTTTCTCATCACAAAAAAAATGTTTTTTATTCTCAGCAAGAAAAAAATAGAGTTTTCATAGCACAATTAAATACAACGCGATGAGCTACTTATCAATGTGAAAAAAATATTCGATGTTTAGTTTGAATTTCAATTGTAGAATTTTAAAATAATTTTAGCGCATTTTTTGACTGCGTATTATGCGAGTGAAATTAATATTGAATATTCAATTCTTTATACTTGTCAACAATCAGTGAAATTTGATACTTTAACGCCTTATGAAGCATGCAGTTGCATGAGGCATTGAAATACGAGACGACAGGTGCATTAAGATATTTTTGTCTTTGATGTATTGCCGACTTTTTAATGCGCATTTTTAATTATTATGAAAATAGATTTTTTTCTGTCAATTTTTCTTGAAATAATGGCTTTATTAGTTACTGAATAAGCTATTCAACTTCGAATTTATAAGCGGGCATCTCTTGATTTTGTAGAAATTTCTTAATATTTTTTGAAGTTCTAAAACTTGTGATTTCTTTTAAAGGTCTGAAATCGAAACATGTTCATAGATAATAAATCAATAGTAAGTCTAATCTTGCCTCAATCTTGAATGGAAGATGGCATTCAAAACATGAAAAATATGTCAAAGGGTCAGTAAGTCAGTAACGCAATGAATCTGGTTTCACGACAGTCTGGAATGACATATTAAACCATATTAAATTTATTCAAATCATAAAATTTTGGTTTAAATTTCATTCAGAAATACAATAACGTAATTTGAACAATCTAGGCACAAACACTATATGATTAATCACAAAAATCACAAAAAACACTTCCTGACATAATGTTTCGAAACCTTCAATAGTTGACGAATAGATTTCCCGAATAGCACAAGTCAATACGAATAGCATCATGCCATTCATGTCGGTCTGGTGCCGGATTTCTATTCGATCAATTGACTTGTGAAACTCGGGTTTGATTAAAAGTGGGATTAGAAATATCATGTCACGAAGCACTGGGATTTTGGGGAAAAATCCTAAGTATTTAAGCTTTAGAACTTTCAATTATGTAGGTAATTAAGTAAAAGGTTCACATCCTTATTTTAAGATGCCTCGACATTTCCATTTAGTCATTTTGTCAAATTGAATCCTAGTTTTGAAACGTAAAGACAACTTAGTGGTTAAAATGATCAATTTCCTTTCTCAAAATAATCCTCCCACCTCTGGATTAGAGCCAAGAACTAAAACAGTCCCCAAAGAAACAATAAAACTAAATCAAATTGACAGAAATCAGAAATAATTAGCAAAAAAGAAGTAAAGCTAAAGGATTCATCGATTCCCACATGTCATTAGTAGTTACCAAGTCTCAATGTCTATAATCTTCAATATAAAGACAAAGTTTCAAAGACACACGCACGTGTCTTCTTTTTAATGTATCTGAAAATATTCTAAATCACTACAGCACATTTACAACCGTTAAATGTCCATAAAAACAGTAAAAATGATCATAAATTGCAGATAATTCCACATTCCTTTACAATAAAAAAAATGCGCTAAATTTACTAAAATCACAACATTTCTACAAACATTTTCTATTTTAGCTCAAACAAAAACAAAAACTCGTCAACTAAAAATAAAACATTTTTCACAAAAAAAAATTTTAAAAAAATTTCTCAACCGCGCCACGATTATTTTATGTCAGCTAAAGCTATAATAAATTTCGACTCATCGTGATTGTTTCAAGTTCAATACTGAACGAGAATTATGAAAAAAAAGCAAGTACAATACATAATAACAATAATGTAAGTTATTCGAAAAACTATTACTCGCAATAGACCGACACGCGATACATCCAATTTTCATTTCTGTGAATGAGAATTAAGGAGACACACAAATTGAGAGAGAACCGGCTAGAAATAATATTAATGAATTATCAATTAAGGCCATTGATCAATTTTTGTTATTCGTCAATAGCATTGACTATGTTCGTATGTGTATGGTCGGTGAAAATTTAATGATTGTTGTGCTCAGTTTTCATGACTTTTGTTTCGATTTCCTTTTTCTTCTTTCAATCTGATCGATACGACATTGATGAAAGAAAATGTTTCTCTTTAATGACTAAATGACCTAATTTACTCAGTTCGTCAATCAGAGTTCATGTTGATGAATATTTGAGGAGGCTCTTGAGATAATAAGACAAACAGGCAGCAAAGAAGACAGGAAGTTGATGTGAAAATAGTCGAAAAGATTTGTTAAATAATTTCGAGGTGAACTTTTAAATCTGAAATACATTCAAGTTCAAGTTTGAAAGGATATATGCAGAAGTTTAAACCTTACTTCGAAGAATTTTAAAAATCATCAAAACAGAGTTCTAGAAAATTGTAACTTGCTGTTCAAAATTGTATTGTTTAAAGCAGTGTTGTCCAAACTGTGTGCCGTAAAAATGTTTTGTAAATGACGCGAGCTCAATGCTGTGTGCGACTTTGATAATAGCTTACTCCTTAGGTGTGCCTTGGCTCAAAAAAGTTTTGACAGCACTGGTTTAAAGTCAAAGAAAGCCATGAAAACAGAATAAGAAGCTAAGATGATTTCAGAAGGTTCAGTATCCTAAAAAGAAAAGTTGATGCTAGACTAGCATTTACCAGATTTATCTGATTTACGAAAATTATTAGAATTAATAATATCAATAATAGTTGAGAAAGTAACTTAATGTTAGTAGATTCCCAAACTGTATTTAAAGAACCATCAACAGCTCTTAAATCAAAATTAACTTCCGATTCCCAATGACTTTTCCTTTCGATTAAACAAAACTTCCACCCTCATCCTTAAACAATCGTTAATAATTGATAAGAAATTGACTTTTTTCTATCAGACTCCTTCAGATCCAATTTTACCTGCATTAAGTTTCAAGATTCAATGTACATTTTTCTTCGCTATCGTAAGATGATTTTTTTTACATTCAATTCACGATTCGAATTGAAAATTCTATTTGAAATAAAAGAGGAAAATCAACAGGTTGTAAATGAATGAGTGCGACTTTTTCTTCTCTATTTTTTCGCTCTTTTATTCCATGACATTATTTTCGTAACGAGTTTTTGAGCAATTTTTACATCAGCACTGTTATTGGCAGTGAAATTTTCTGTAAAATAAAGACGGTCTTAGTGGAATTGATGACATAATTTGGTGTGTATCCTTTGAAAATAAGTTCGATGTAATTTATTTTAAGGTTTTTATTGAAAATGTTTTTCTATCAATAATGTCGGGGTTAAGATGGAATTTTCTCGTTTATTTTTGAAGGAGATTTGTCTTTTTTTGGACTTAGTAGCAAGAACTAGCTTAATGACATTCCATAATTTTTAAAACATTGATTACATGGTCCATGAGCTGGATAGGATTATTGACTTAGTTTCAAAATGTATTATCAATTGAAACAGAATTAATGTTAAGCAAAGGTTAGTAAAAGCAGCTTGATCTAATCCTTTGATAAAAGATTCTTAAAAAGAAGTCTCTGGAAACCATCTTTTCCCTGGCAATACACTTCTTTTTTACGAAATAAAGATATCATCAGCTTTAAATGTCAGCTAGACTAAGTTTAGAGCCTTAAATTCTATTTTTTTTAAATTCATTGTTTGAAATCTTAAAATCTTATATTATATGTTTAAAGACAGATCCCGATAAAAAAAAACATTCAATGCAATATCATTGTCTCAATAAAAAGAAAATCTTTCCCAAACCCCAATGAATTAATCCTTCGAAAATAGAGACGATAAATATTTTCAACATCCTTATCTTACACAAAGAAGGTAGAAAAAGAATTTTCTTTCATAAATTTTCAATAAAAAACCGTTTAAGTTATTAAAATTTCTTTAAAAAACTTTTTTTTTTCCTTTTATCAACTTTGTTGTTGGTGGTTTGTTCGATGAAATGAACCGTAAAAGAAAGCTCTTAAAAGGAAAAATGAGAGAAAAAAGTTTATTGAGGTTTTAATTAATCGCTCGTTAGCAATAAAAAATCCTTATTGATTATTACTTTTAATGGCGAAGGATTTTTATTGAGATGGTAAACGATTGATTAATTATTTTGATGGATGAGAATCTAAGAAATGTTAATAAGTGGATGATTTGTAAGGTTTTTTTTTGGAATAGAAGTTTTTTTGGTTAAAGGTCGTACGTTAATTATATTATGTGCAAAAGTAAGTTTTTTAGTCTTGATTCATCTTAATCTAACCTAATTGCAGAACACCGGGGTTAAATTGAGGTAGGGCGCTTGGTTAAAACTTGGTATGGTAACTCGAAGGTTGTCGGTTTGAATCCATCCATTTCCAAATCAGAAACTTGAAGTGAGTAGCGGGAGAAATGGAACCGAGAGCTACAAGATTACTTTATAATGGAATATGGTCAGAACTGACCTGAAATGTATCACGTCTCGCTCACAGAAGATTATGAATCGAAACCTAGATTTTGGAAGCTTGATTCTACATCACCTATAGAAATATAAAATGGACCACTAATCAATGTAAACAGCTCCGCTTAATATAGTCTTGCCGTGTTTTATAGATTAAATAGCCCTGAGCATGAGCTTTGTAGTGAAGCTGACTGTGTTTGACGAGTATTCGAGGTCGTGAGTTCGATTCCGATTAAACTCGATTTGTTTTATACAATGTATT